GCGCTATGGGGCTGGCTGTGGGGCTGGCCCCACATTTTGGGGGCTGGGGTGCTTTCTTTGGGGGGTTTTGGGGGTTATTTTGAGGGTTTCTACTCTTTCCGGAGGGGCTCTTGCTCCTCAAACTCCAATCTGGGGTTTGGGATCTTGTACAATGATCTCTATGGGGCTGGACCCACATTTTGGGGCCTGATAGTGAGCACTGTGGGGCTGGACCCACACTTGGGGGGCTGGGTTGCATGATTTGGGGGGTTTTGGGGGTTATTTTGGGGGTTTCTGCTCACTCCGGAGGAGCCCTTGCTCCTCAAACCCCAACTCTGGGATTTGGGGTCTGGTACCGTGAGCTCTATGGGGCTGGACCCACATTTTGGGGGCTGATAGTGAGCGTTATGGGGCTGACGGTGAGCGCTGTGGGGCTGGACCCACACTTGGGGGGCTGGGTTGCTTTATTTGGGGGGTTTCGGGGGTTATTTTGAGGGTTTCTCCTCTCTCCGGGGGGGCTCTTGCTCCTCAAACCCCGACTTTTGGGTATGAGGCCTCATAGCTACATCTATGGGGCTGACAGTGAGCACTGTGGGGCTGGCTGTGGGGCTGGACCCACATTTTGGGGGCTGGGTTGCTTTCTTTGGGGGTTATTTTGGGGGTTTCTCCTCTCTCCGGAAGAGCTTTTGCTCCTCAAACCCCAACTCTGGGGTTTGGGATCTCGTACCATGAGCTCTATGGGGCTGGACCCACATTTTGGGGGCTGATAGTGAGCACTGTGGGGCTGGCTATGGGGCTGGACCCACATTTTGGGGGCTGGGCTGCTTGATTTGGGGGGGTTTGGGGGTTATTTTGAGGGTTTCTCCTCTCTCTGGGGGGGCTGCTCCTGCTGGAACCCCAGCCCTGGGCCTCCTACCGCAAGAGAAAGGGGCTGACGGTGAGCGCTGTGGGGCTGGACCCACACTTGGGGGGCTGGGTTGCATGATTTGGGGGGTTTCGGGGTATATTTTGAGGGTTTCTTCTCTTTCCGGAGGAGCTCTTGCTCCTCAAACCCCAACTCTGGGATTTGGGGCCTCATACCTACATCTGTAGGGTTGGACCCACATTTTGGGGGCTGACGGTGAGCGCTGTGGGGCTGGACCCACACTTGGGGGGCTGGGGTGCTTTCTTTGGGGGGTTTGGGGGTTATTTTGGGGGTTTCTCCTCTTTCCAGAGGAGCTCTTGCTCCTCAAACCCCAATTCTGGGGTTTAGGGTCTCATACCATGAGCTCTATGGGGCTGGACCCACATTTTGGGGGCTGACGGTGAGCGCTGTGGGGCTGGGCCCACACTTGGGGGGCTGGGCTGCTTTGTTTGGGGGGTTTGGGGGTTTATTTTGAGCGTTTCTCCTCTCTCCAGTGGGGCTCTTGCTCCTCAAACCCCAACTCTGGGGTTTGGGGCCTGGTCCCATGAGCTTTGTGGGGCTGGACCCACATTTTGGGGGCTGATAGTGAGCGTTATGGGGCTGACGGTGAGCGCTGTGGGGCTGGACCCACACTTGGGGGGCTGGGTTGCTTTCTTTGGGGGGTTTCGGGGTTATTTTGGGGGTTTCTCCTCTCTCCGGAAGAGCTCTTGCTCCTCAAACTCCAACTCTGGGGTTTGGGATCTCGTACCATGAGCTCTATGGGGCTGGACCCACATTTTGGGGCCTGATAGTGAGCACTGTGGGGCTGGCTGTGGGGCAGGACCCACACTTGGGGGGCTGGGTTGCTTTCTTTGGGGGGTTTTGGGGGTTATTTTGGGGGTTTCTCCTCTCTCCGGAAGAGCTCTTGCTCCTCAAACCCCAACTCTTGGGGTTTGGGGTCTCGTACCATGAGCTCTATGGGGCTGGACCCACATTTTGGGAGCTGACGGTGAGCGCTGTGGGGCTGGCTATGGGGCTGGACCCACATTTTGGGGGCTGACGGTGAGCACTGTGGGGCTGGCTATGGGGCTGGACCCACACTTGGGGGGCTGGGTTGCATGATTTGGGGGGTTTCAGGGTATATTTTGAGGGTTTCTTCTCTTTCCGGAGGAGCTCTTGCTCCTCAAACCCCAACTCTTTGGGTTTGGGGTCTCGTACCAGGAGCTCTATGGGGCTTGACCCACATTTTGGGGGCTGACGGTGAGCGCTGTGGGGCTGGACCCACACTTGGGGGGCTGGGTTGCATGATTTGGGGGGTTTCAGGGTATAGTTTGAGGGTTTCTCCTCTTTCCGGAGGAGCTCTTGCTCCTCAAACCCCAACTCTGGGATTTGGGGCCTCATCCCTACATCTGTAGGGTTGGACCCACATTTTGGGGGCTGACGGTGAGCGCTGTGGGGCTGGACCCACACTTGGGGGGCTGGGTTGCATGATTTGGGGGGTTTCAGGGTATAGTTTGAGGGTTTCTCCTCTTTCCGGAGGAGCTCTTGCTCCTCAAACCCCAACTCTGGGATTTGGGGCCTCATCCCTACATCTGTAGGGTTGGACCCACATTTTGGGGGCTGACGGTGAGCGCTGTGGGGCTGGACCCACACTTGGGGGGCTGGGTTGCATGATTTGGGGGGTTTCAGGGTATAGTTTGAGGGTTTCTCCTCTTTCCGGAGGAGCTCTTGCTCCTCAAACCCCAACTCTGGGATTTGGGGCCTCATACCTACATCTGTAGGGTTGGACCCACATTTTGGGGGCTGACGGTGAGCGCTGTGGGGCTGGACCCACACTTGGGGGGTTTTGGGGTTTATTTGGGGGGTTTTGGGGTTTATTTGGGTGGTTTCTCTTCTCTCCAGAGGGGCTCTTGCTCCTCAAACCCCAACTTTTGGGTATGGGGCCTGGTCCCATGAGCTCTATGGGGCTGGACCCACATTTTGGGGGCTGATGGTGAGCGCCGTGGGGCTGGACCCACATTTTGGGGTGTGTGTGGCTTATTTTGGGGTGTTTTTGGCCGATTTTGGGCATCCCTCCCCTTTCCAGGCGGGTTCTGACTGCTGGAACCCCAGCCCTGGGGCATCTTTCCATGAACACTTATAGGGCTGGACCCACATTTTGGGGACTGACGGTGATCGCTATGGGGCTGGACCTACGTTTTGGGGTGATTTTGGGTCATTTTGGGTGTTTTCTCCCTTCCCAGGAGACGACCTACAGGAATTACCAGCGGATCCGGCTCCGGCCCGAGCAGTTTCCCTCCTACTTGACCTCCCCCGAAGTGGGGTTCGACAGCTACGAATTGTTGGGGACCCCCCAGCACTCGGCCAAAGGTGGGGGGAGATGTGGGGCAGGGCTGGGGGGTGGGGGGACCCTGAATT